GGTTCCCCCCCCCCCCCCCACCATGCTTTTTCTCTCTCCAGTACTTTGAGAACAGTGGAAGTAATAGGATTAATGCTGGCATTGTTGCAAGCTCCCATGGGATTTTTCAGTGGAAACTCTGAGTTTGCTGGGGTATCATGCTATGTAAAGTGACTATTTCCTTGTTTCATTGACTGCTCATTTCTCCCAAACGCATTATACTTTAGCCAAAAAAACAGTTATTGAGCTTAGTGCAGGCATTACCAGGTGAAATTTAATGGCCTGTGATATACACATGAGTTCAGATTAAGTGATCCAATGGGTGCTTCTGGCCCTCAGCTTTATGAATTCATCCCACCAGACCTCTCTGGCAATTTTTCCATCAAAACCCATGGAACCCCAGCTGGATTTGAGGAAAGGGTGATAATCCCTCTTTTCCAGTCCTCCTTTTCAGATGTGCTGACCTGTTCTGGCTATCTTTCATACTATTTTAATCACCATTGTGCCTGAGGATAAGGGAGGAAGAGAGGGAGACAAGTCTAACTTGCCAAATAGTATCCATGTATTATGACACTGTGGGCTATGATGCTACAGCAATGTAGCATCCACAGGCAAAAGCTGTAGTGACACGCTCCCTTGTTATAGCGTGTTGCTACAGTGATATAGTGCCCAAAAATAACTGTGTGCAGTGCACACAGTGCAGTATAGTCTATTACTGTGCTGTCTTTTAGTACTTCCAAAAGCAAGTAACAATGGCGCCCTAGCAGCACGTGTAGATGCACCCTGTGTGTATGTAAAATCATCTACCTAATCTGAGTCATTGTATTTGTATCTATGTTGTGTTTTTAGTTGCGTATAAATGGGTCACTTTTCTCTCTCTTGCCTTTTTAAAGTTTGTCTGCAAGCACCCTCACAATGTCCTCCGGCAGCAGTAGGGGATCACTGGCATCTAGCCGAGGATCGCTGGCATCCAGCAGGGGTTCTCTCAGCTCAGTCAGCTTTACGGATATCTATGGCCTTCCACAGTATGACAAATCAGATAATGTCACAGACTTTGGACAGCATCTGCGCTTTGACATAATTCCATTTGAATCTCTCACTAAAGATGTGCAGTACTCTGATTCTGTTGGACATTCTAACTTCAATAAGCAAAGGAGGTCCTTGGATACACCTCAGTCTCTGGCATCCCTATCCTCACGGTCCTCCTTGTCATCACTGTCTCCTCCAAGCTCTCCACTAGATACCCCCTTTCTTTCTGCTTCTCGGGATTCTCCACTGGCTCAGATGTGTGAAGGGTTTGAGGAAATGGCTGGCATAGGAGCCCTAGAAATGCTTAGAGCTCAAGCCTCAGCATTGGGTGATGATGATACACAAGGAACAACTTCATCTCAGACTCCAAGTTACCCTATGGACAGTGAAGGAATGCGAGAAATGGGGCTACAATTTGCAAATATCCAGACTGGTGGAGGTTAGTTTGTTTCCTTATTATTATTTCATGTGGCTGACTTTATAAGGGATAATGAAAAATAAAATAAAAATCTAAGCATGCTAGTACAATAGAGGTTATCTATCCCCCATCAATTTAATTTAAAGCAATTATGTAGTAAATGTTAGCTAGTAAAATAGATTTGCGGTTAAAGGTAAATCAGAAGGATAATTTTTGTGGGTCGTGACTCTTTGATACATTAGAGACGTTTGGTGCATTAGACTTTTGAGGTTCTTTGGGTGAATCTGATATCTTTTATTAGACCAACTTAAGTAGTTGGGGGAAAAAAAATTTTTAGCAAGAAATTTTTCCCCCCCCAGCTACTTAAGCCGGTCTAATAAAAGATATCAGATTCACCTGAAGAACCTTGTCTGCCTATCTCCTTAGACCAACATGGCTACAACCTACGCCCCTTTGATTTTTGATGCATTCAGTTTGGAAATTTACTTCAGTATTATTTCACTAATTTTAGTTTCATTAATAAAAATAGAATGTTTGGTTCTTCTTGGGAAATATACTGAATAAAAACAGTTTTAGGCTGTGCTGGACTCATGTCACTTTTATTTGTATGCCAAACATGCATAATTAATAATAGGAAATTAGATGGACAGAAGATCCTCACTAGAACCTAATGAGAAAAGTAAACACAAGTTGCAGCAGTAACCATCCCTTACCCTTAGTGGATACTCAGCCCTCACAAAAAAGAGAGGACCACTGAAAGAGCTTGTTCTTAGTAGCCACTAATCTGACTGGTTCAAACAAATCATTTTTTTTCCTTTGTATGGTATAAGACAGGCAGGAAGTTGCAAGTTTATAATGCTACTAGCTATTTTAATTTTTAGAAGACATGGTATTTATATCTGCCCTCTGTTACTTTGGCCAGAACTGGGGTGACTCATTATAGGTGCTGTTTAGCACCTGTTCTATTTCTGTGAACTACCATGTATACAACAGTCTAGGAAGAAAACTACTGGACTTACCCAAATCCAAGATGATTCTGAATTTAACATAACTCGCTTCCCATCCCACCAGAACTAGATTTTGTGTGTGGAAAGTTATACATTTGTTACCATTTTCCATGTATAGAATCTGATTGAAGGGCTGTCAAAATTTGTGCCCCCAGTGCTGCGCAGGGGAAAGAAACAACAGAGCAAGCAATGACCGGGGCGGGGTATGGAGGAGGAGGGGGGAGAATAATCTGAGTTATTGAAAATAATATGTTTGAATATTATATTAGAATTGGTGCTATTTGCTTATATTATTATTATTTTGTGGTGGTGGTATTGTAATATTATGTCATTAGTTGCTATGGATGATCCCAAATGTAGAAAAACAGTTTAGGCAGAAAGAACAGACAAGCTTAGACTCTTACTGCACACTTGCAGATTTATGTTGCCATAAGATCCTAGTTTTTGATTTACACTACTTAATGCAAGTTCAGTAGTTTAAAAAATCATTATATAAGTAAAGAGGAGTCTCCCAGTGCTGTACACATCACCAGGATTCTGACCAGGTATTTACTACATCATTAATCAAAAAGGGTATTATCAAGGAGGGGATATGACCAGGCTGTTTAAAGCCAGTTTGAAATGGCTTTTATTTATTTCTTTTTGCTCCCAATCAAATACAGTATGTCCTTCTGGTTTATCAACCTGAAATAGGGTGAAGACCAAAATAGTGTATTGTTTGTATTCTGAACCACAATCACTTCAAGTTGATGAAGTTCCTTGTTATGTTGGTCATTATAATTCTCAAACCAAGCAGGAGCAGGTTGACTTAAACATCCTGAACTGGCAGGATTCATTTGAATTGGCTTAGGATCTCTGGCTGCCCTAGTGACAGTAGGGCTGCTGGTTATGCTTATTGACTGAAACCACTGTTGGTTGGTTTAGGGACTTGTGGGAGTTTAACTGTGTAGATTTCTGAAAATGAAAAAGTTTGTTAGAAATATATAAATACTAAAGATCAACAAAAGATGAACATTTCAAAATGTAACATAACATTTCAAAATTTCAGTATTTATATAATATTTTCTTTCCAATTCCCATTTTGTGTAACCAAACTAGGAGCTGCTATTAAAATACAAAAGGCTTTTGCCCTATTCATACAATATTTGAGGGTTAATTAATCAATACATGATAATGCTGTTCTAGTAAAGCAAATGTATTCAGTATTTATTATATTTAAGCACCTCAACCAAATTTTACACTAATGGCTGAAAGGAACATGAATTTTGGTATGATTTATCAAAACAGCATTATAAAGATATGGCAAAAGAGAATATATCATATAAAATAGAAAACATGCTTGTAATTGATAATTGCCCCTTTTTTGCAATCAGCTAACAGGAGCTTCATTCACATGACTCAAGAAAGGGAAGGAACTGACTTAAAGCATTTTGATCTAAATAGCTTGTTCAGCCCCAGTAGTTTGGTGCAGACTCATTACTTTTCTTAACACAAGGAATACTTCCAGAAGATGTGGCTGTGAGACGTACATCTGCTATGTGAAAACATTGCGAATGCCCATATTACTGTGTTTGGACCAAAATAAGCACAGTTCTGAACAACAGCTTATAGGTTATATGCTTCAGTGAGTGCCATGCAGAGGCTTTTTGTAAAAACACAGATGACAGTTTTAGATCAGAAAACCACATTATGAATTCACCCATTGCAGTAAAGCAAACACATTTCCAATGTACCATATTTTCTCACATATAATATGCTTCATACTATAAGGAACACCTTGTTTTTGAAGGGTAGAATGAAGGGGCAGATCTCCATGAATGGATCTATGATTTTGAAAGAGCTGAAGAATTGAGCAGCTAGCATGCAGCAAATTTGTCTTTAACTTTATTAGTGGAACATGGAGGCTATTTAAAAAGGAGAGATGATCATTAACACCTGTGGAACGAAGAACAATGAGCCATTAAGGGTGGTATCCTGTATGCACCTTAACACTTAAGTGCACTTAAAACACAAGCAGATAGCATGTGTTAAGTGCCCTCTTGGAGTTGCAGAGCCATCTCCTTTCAGGGGAGGGTGATCTCCTATCACAGGGGCGGGCAATTATTTTGGACAGAGGGCGGCTTACTGAGTTTTGGCAAGCCATCGAGGGCTGCATGAAAGGCAGCCCAAGGCAGATTAATTTTCTAAAATTTTTAGGGGCCCTGCGGGCTGGATAGAATGGCCTGGCAGGCCGCATTTTGCCTACCCCTTTCCTAACAGGTACTAACTTGAATAGATTATTACATTCCCATGATTGCAATGGTTTCAAGTGAACATGTGACAGGGCCCTAAGTCAGTTGATTGCTTCAGCTGCCAGAATAGTAATACCACAGGTGCTGCACTATGAAGCAGGAGTCAAAGCAGGATGATTCTATCTGAGGCAGGAAAGTAATTTCCCAGCTTCATACACACAACCCAGTTTTGAGGTAGCTGATTTTTGGGAGGAAAGTTCTGCAGTATAGCAAGGAAATGTAAATGTGAAGGCCTGATATGAATGCTGAAATGGGGAAGGATAAGACGGATAAGGAGAATAAGGATAAGAAGGATTAGGGTGCTGCTTCAGTCTTGCTCTCTACCCCTTCCACGTCAACTTCTATTCCTTCCTTTTATTTAAAAGTTCTGGCAGCAAGTCACTCTGCTTTTGTCACTAGATTGCTTCCCTGTTCTTGCTTCCTGTTCTTCTGTTTTCAGCTCTCCTCTGTGTATAGTATGGAACACTTACACTGGGTATAAAAAAAATCAACAGTGCAAGGCCAAATAGTTACCTTGCTGTTCTTTTGACTTCCCTTTTAATGTTTCAAATTTAGAAGTGAGTTGGGAAAAATGAGGTGGTTGCTACTTTGAACTCTGTAAATACACTGGTTCCGTTAGTTTGTATCGTATATTACAGCTAAACTGATTAATTGTCTCACATTTTCTGGGACAGCCTTGAATTTTGGGGCTGTGTCTTGGTTACCTTAGGGACTCCCCGAGACAGGACATTCATCCTGAGTTTGAAAAATCAGTTCCCGAGGAGCCTGCTGAATTGAAAATATATGCAGCACTCAGATGTACTAATTAGCCTTGCTTCTCAGTAGAGCTAATTGGCCAGGCATAGCACCACCCAAACTCATCTGTTCTCATTAGCTCTGCTTAGAGGCAGAGCTATTTGGACTGGGCACAGTGCTTCTCTAACTGGCTATACTAACCAGGTCCAGAAGTGGTGTATAGACCAGTTCCAATTCTAGAGGTCTGTCGAGCATGTGGGCCTGTTCCTAGATTATGTCCCCCAAAGCTGGTTTGCTTTTACAGCAGTTGCTTTCAAGAAGCAGTTCCAGGTTCCCAGGCTTTGCTGGTCCACATGCTACCTTAATGTTATGAAGTGAACTGATAGCATATCAAACTCACATAACCCCAGCTTGGGGAGCCTCTCCTTTAGAGCTATTTTGTGGGTTTTAAGTAAGTTGGTATGTAGTGTGCTTAGTTGCTGCCACCTAACGGTTTGGTCTCATAATAAAAAGTTGGAAATGAACCATATGTAGTTCTGGCAACGTTCTGAAGTATTTAGTCGAACAAAATGTTTAGTAATTGTGACTCGTGGAAGTGGGAGAAGATGCAAAAGTTGCAATTGAGCCATGGATAGTGCATGCAGTTACAGCCTTACAGGTTCCTGTGTCTGTGATTTCATCTTGACTTGAAACTCTGCTGCTAGTACAGGTTTTGCACTTCTCCTGAAAGCATACTATACATTCTGCTGAAATATGCAATGGTAGAGTGACATGGACAAAAGAAGTCTGAGCCATGACATTCATGCCACTTGTGGAAGATCTAAAAAATTTGGTGGAGAGGAAGAAAACTATCATTTAACTAGAACACTGAATTTTTAAACGTTTGTCTTCTTTTGGGGCTGGATTCTGTTCTGCCCCTGTTAAATATTTAAAGTGCTTAAGTGCAATTCTGTTTCATCTTTCTCGAGTCCCTGTAAAGCTGTTAACAGAAAGGTGGGTGATTCCTCCTTGATATTTTTTTTTTTTTTTGCGACGCTATCTTAAGGATAAGATGGTGATTGTCACAAAAGTAGATGCAATAATGCATTTTTGGGGGATTGTGGTGTGTGGAATATTTAAAAATTAAATGGCCTATATAAAAAATAATTTATCACCGTGTACTTTAATTTTGTATCTTGTTTCTCATGCGGCACAACAGAAAAATTGCTGTAAGTGAACCTAAAATTATTACTTATTTTGCTATATTTGCCTGTCACTCAAGTGTGTGTCTTTTTGCGTGTGTAGTGTTCTGTGTTCTCTGCAACTTGCATGTGAAGAAAAGTGAAGGCGTGCTAATTTTTATTTTGCTTGATATTATGCTATAATATTTAAGCATCAAGGCACACTTAAGTTTTTTTGCTATAACAACTAAACATATTCCTGGCTATTATTAAATTCTTGGAGACCTGTTTTGAAAGCTTTATTACAAAGCTTTGTTTCAGCTTTATTATATCTTGTTAATGCCTAACAACACTGTGGTATGTGAGGATCTCTTTGTGCCTTCACTGTAAGCTTCCTTTTTGAAGTTGCGTTGTTGTTATTAAAATGTGTTTTGTTATGCAACATGTATATCTCTAACCATGGCCTAGATTTTTTTTTTTTTTAAAGTAGCTAATGATTGTGGTTTCTTAGCTTTTGGGCACCTAGATTGAGACACTTTTTTTCAAGTAACTTCTTACAACTTTCTGAAAATTAGGCCTATTTAAGGTAGCTCATGCTGGTCATGCAAACATTGGAGAACCCATATCACTAGTTGCTATTGTAAAATTGTGTTCAATATTTTTTGTCTAGGGACTCAAATCTTACAACGTTGGAGAGAAAAATTAGGCTTGCTTTCTTACTTGTAGTAGAAGCATATACTTTTTTTTCATTGCGAATGAAATTTTACAGCTTGAACAAATTTGAAAAACTAACTCTGATAAAGCCATGATATCTAAAATGAAATGTTAGTTTCTCTTTTCATGTTTATTTTCTTTTCTTTTCAAAAATCTATTTGCCACCTCCCATATTCTTTGGGTTGTGCTATGCTGATATTATCAGGTGTTTCTATGCCTGCAGACATAAAAGCAACATTTCTATAAAGTGTCGCTTTTTTATGACATCACCACGTGGCTTCTTGAGTCTAGTATTTTCGTGTGAACAATTTCCAAAACATGAAGCCCCAAAGGAAAGAGTCTGCAATGTTCTGCTTATGGTTATAGCCCTCACTTTTGTCTCCTGAATCTGCACGAATTGTCTGTGTAACAGCAGGAGACAAAAGGTTTGTGCCTACAGGGAATACTTGTGTTAGTGTAACTTAAGGTGACCTTTCAATTGATATAGTTAAAAGTCTGTCTGAACACTTATTTCAGTCTAAGTCACTTATTTTCATTTTGTTACACCTGTTCCCCTTAAGGCAAAGTAAGAAATGCATTGGTTTAAATATATAAATTCAGATCTTATGCTAGTGCAGCTTTCTTACATAGATGAGTCCATAAAGGAAACAAATAGTATTAAATATCCTGTCTCAGATGATTTTCTCAGGTGACTTCTGATTTTCTCAGTAGCTTTTGCATCTTTGGAATATAATTTCCTTATTTTTCTGCTACACATCACCATGAATTGGCTGGAGCTGAAAAATTGTTGTTTGTTCTGGTGACAGTGAAATGTGCATGATCTCAACTGGACCATTAAGTTGGGAAGTAGTGATCCAAGAGCTTAGTTCTTTCTGTACAATCAAAGACACTGCTGCTGATTTAAAAGGGGCTTGATAGGACATTCTGGTCACTGGCATAAATTTACTAGAAAGATAAAGAAAGCTAGGAATTTAATTGGACTGGGATGAAGTGTTAATATGTCTAGCTTTTCATCGGTGAAGGCAAAAGGTAAAGTTATCTTCTTAGTAATTGGAATGCTAGTTTCAGACCAGATTGCTATTTTCACAATGTCTTATTTTCTTAATTTGCTTTTAACATTTTAATATATCTGAGAATTGCAGTGAGATAGGTTGTCTAGTTAAAAATAAAATTCTGTGTTCAAGTCCCGTGGAAGTGGAAACACAATATAACGATATAGTCCCAACCAAAATGGTTGCCATTGACATTTTAAAAAAGCAGGCTACGCATATGCTGTAACCTGAGGGTTGTTGTGAAGGCATGACATTAAGTAAACACAATGTCCAGTTAACATTGCATTCAGAAAGGCAAGAAGTTCATCCAAGAGCACAGGGTTAAATCCTGCACATCCTTAAAATCAGTGGTGCATAAGTCTGGAATGTAATCAATGCTAACTTTCATGTAAAAGCCAGTCGCAAAGCCAGCCTGTATATGTGCCAAACATCTGCTCTGATGCGTGCTAATTAACATGCGTTGGAGCAGACTCTATTAATTGAGTCTGCTGAAGCATGTTAATTAACATGCTCCAACAGCTCCTCATCATGTCTATTCAGTGTCCCCATGCTTCAGAATGGCAGCAGGGACACTAACTAAAGCTTATTGAACAAGCTTTAGTTCAAGCACGCTGCCATCATTTGGAAGCACAGGACACTGAATAAATGTAGCACTGTGGTCACACTAATTAAAGCACCATCCTGGAGCACATGTAGGATTTCTTGTTGCAGGTTAAGGCACAGTAAAGCATCTCAGTTTGGACAGGAATGGGTATAATTTTCTTCTTATTTTTTTTCTTCTTCTATAGTGCTATCATTTGCTACCTTCCATCTTTGAAACATTTTGACTTGCTCTCCCAGTTTCTCTTTTAAAATCTGCCTTTGAGAGGTGGAGGGGGGTGGGTATTATATTAGTTGTTCTTGCAATAAGGAAACATTTTAATTAAATCAGTTGGATGTCTATGTTGGAGACACTATGGACAATATTTCAAAATGTAAGTTGTTCGACTTTGCAAAACATTGGGCATACAATTTGAGTGCTGTCACTGGTACACGCACATGAGAGGTTTAACCATTGCAATATCTATTTGTGTGCGCAAAACTATATGGAGTATTATTCATCAATTGTCATCACTTCTGTCTGTGATTGATAGTGATTGTTCATATAACTTTTGTGCATGAAGTTGTTCTTAGGAGGGAACCAAGAGAGGTTATGGAATCTCCATTCTTAGAAGTTTTGAAGACACGGTTAGACAAAGCCTTGGCTGGGATGATATAGTTGGGGCTGGTCCTGCTTTGAGCAAGGGGTTGGACTAGATGACCTCCTGAGGTCCATTCCAGCCTTCATTATCTATGATTCAATGGGAAGAGAGAGAATTTACCATATTTGAGCAAATAGAGGATGACCCCTCCCCACTAACTAGATTCTATATGTGGAAAATGAATAAATGTTATAATTTTCCAGATGTAGAATCTAAGTATTGGAAGGTTGTCTTGAATCCCCGGCCCCCACTGCTACAGCAGGAAAAACAGTGGCTGGGGGGAGAGGTCAGGTGGCCCCCTTGCCTTCTGTCTTACTTTTTCCTCAGTCAGCCTCCCTGCCTCCCCCACACCTACATTTCCCATCCCCTGGCACCACACAGTCTCTGCCTCTCCCTCTAGTCTCTGCCTCGTCCCCTTCTTGCTATCACACACTGCCATGGCTACTCTGTCCTACAGCACAGCACTGGAAGCTCAGCCCTTTCCTGCCATGCAGCAGTGTTGACACTCCTAATTGGCTAGGCAGGGGAAGGAGTTTCCATGTACTTCATGTCCAAGAGAGACCCCTGTCCGAGCTGGAGCCCAGCTGCGCCTGACAGTAAAGGGGGAGAGAAGAAGGTGGAAGATTGGTGGGGGGCAGGCAGGAAGCTGCTTTGGGTCAGACTCTGGCCTTGACCTGGGTTCAGGGCCAGAGTCAGAACTAGAACAGCTGCCTGCTCCCCTTTTCTTTGTATGCAAATAGAAGGTCAGGGGCTTTTTTCCCCATGCTGATGGTGGGTTGGGGGTTCATCTTGTATTTGAGTAAATACAGTAATTTCAATTCACTAGTTTCCAACATTTGTTTGAAAAGTCAAAAATTTCACAATGATCATAACAGTGCACCTCAGATTGTTTAAAAAAATTAAGAGGCTATTCTGGTATGATACAAACAATATTTATACTTTTAGAATTAATATTTAAGAACAAAAAAGCCCCACAGAAACACCATCGGTGTCGGATTACTTCTTAAATTGTTATTTTTTAGCCAGTTTAAAAGATTTGTGCTTTATGGAGGTTTCCTATTTATTACTTGTTCATTAAGGGATGGTTAGTTGATAAATACTAAAAATAAAGCTACTAAAGTGGCTATGTGTGTATAGGCTGGGGTTAAAGTAATTTAAGGTTTGCCCCAGTGATAATAGTTCTCTAGAAAAAATAAGGACTGCTACAAATAGAAAATCAGCTTATCCATTCTTTAGGCGCATACTTCCTTTTGAAATTCTCTAACAAAAGAACTCAAACCTACTGTATGTGTTTTTCAAAGGTGAGGTGGTATTCTAAAAATGTGCACCTGTATTTTCATGAACTGTTCTAAATGTAGTTTGAGCGATTTGAATTCACTCTGTATATAGTATTTTATGAGAGAGTTCCTCAATTTGACCTTTCTTTGCTTTTTTCTCTTATAGCTGTAACTCTACGTGAAGACAGTGCTAGAAGGTCGGAGAGGAGAGCCAGGCGAGTTTCAGCATGTCTATCCGATTATTCACTGGCTAGTGACAGTGGCGTGTTTGAAGCTTTAAGCAAAAGGTCAGGTGTATAAATGCATAATAAACTGGAAATATACTTTTTTCTACCAGTCTACAAAAATATCAATTTCTGAAATGGATCAGATCCTGTTGATAATGGATAAATGGTAATTGCTAACATTTAGAAATGTAAAAATATTAGGTTAAATTAAAAACTTTTAGAAAGGAATTGTTTCTACATGCAATTCCACTGTCATTTTCACAAGTATTTGTTACTTCGTTTGTTTTTCATATCCTTATGGACATCCATGAAAATTGTTCCTCCTTTCTCTCCTGAATTACTAGTTTGGCTTCCTTGGCTTTTTATGACTGTTTGTGATTTAGGTGAATCAATATAAAAATGATATTCTGAAAATATACTTTACAGTTTAGGTACTTGAAGGTTTGCAGCAACAATTAAAAGAATAAATAATAGACTTTAACATGGAAACAGTTTAAAACTAAAATGTATTTTAGTTTCTCTTAATTATTTGAGCAAGCTTCACAGTATTTGAACATTTTGTAAAAGAGCAGCTGGAAAAAATAGGCTAAGAGGGTTCTGAGGGGAACATTCTATTAATAATGGAAATTGAGGAAGAATAATTTTAAAGTCTTTTGGGGAAATATCAGGGAAAATATCTAAAATTGATATCCATTGGACTGTGGAGAAGGGGCAGTAGGAGGCCCTTTCCTAATCAATTATCAATTACCAATGTAACATGTAATCCAGGAACGTGGATTAGATGAACTAATAACCTTTTGAATAGCTGGATTCCGATTTTCAGTATTTTGCTTCATGTTGAGCATGAAAACTATTGACAGCTGTAGAGCAAAGCAAAATCTAATATTTCTCCATCAAGTGATTGTCCATTGCATGCTCCACTTTGAGTGCAAGTGAGTTTTGCATATTCAGACTTGGATTTGTGGATAGTATTGCTGGTGCAATTTGCACGTACCTTGACATTTTTGTGTTGTGCAGTGAGAACATAAAAGGTAGAATATGCCTACTGTGTTTTCAGTGTTCAGCCTCTGCTTGGTTTCAGTTGAAGCTTCTTGCTGTCACTTTAAAGACCACAGTAAATCTGTAGCATCTTTAACTTTTCTCTAAATATAGTTTTCCTGTTGGCAACCCTGTTAATTTTTTTATTAAGAAAACAAACCACGCCTGTTCCTCAAACCCATAATGGCCTGGATTGGTGGTTTACAGGCATATATTACAGAGTCTAATTCTGTACTGTTTTCTTTATCTCCATTTCACTGACAGAAATGGGCCCCCAGTGTTTTTTCTACAGAGTACCCTGAGAGTCCTCTCTTTGGCACTGAGGCCATCAGAACAGCCAGAGGATATAGCATGGTCACTCTTGTTAGCCTCCTCATCAGTGTCAGAAGATATCCAGAGCTCAGAACACTTATAGATACTTTGAGAGTAGAGAGGATAGATGATTAATGGGACCCTATTATGGCCTCTTATTCACCTTGGCTACCCAAACTACCTCTAGCTCTATCTTTTCCCAACCAAGAGACACCATGCTCTGCCTGACAGACATTGGAGGTCCTGTTCCAGTTTTTATCCACTCCTCCATAGATGATGTGGTTTCCTTAGGCATCCCTAATGAGATTCCTTTTTCTTTCAACTACCATTACTTAAAATAAGGAATATTTTCTTTCATTTGAAACAGGGTATACCAAGAATAAATATTTTGGATACAGAAATTTCAGTTTTAAGTACTTTAAGCAAGTTACACTTGTTCCTTTATTAGATATAATTTCATGTCAAGTATGTGTTCCTGTTTTACTTTGTGAGTATATAGTTTACAAAATTTAAATAAAGCTGTTAGCCTTTAACATTATTATTTTAGTCATAAGCATTTCATCAGCTGAGAAGAAAAAATTTAAATTGATAGTAATATTTTTAAACTAGCAAGTCGGGCTTTTTGATAGGACTTGCTAAATAGTGGTTTACATGAGCAAGTCACAAAGCAAATTACGTTTTGCATTATGCAGATTCTGTATACGTTTTAATCATAAAATAAAGTGCTGCTATAAATCAGTGTGTGATTTACAGCTGTCATCTTTTATTTTATTTCTTTCTTTAGGAATGAGGATGTTGAAGAACTTGTTTATAGCGATGCTACCGGTAGTGAAGAGCCACAAATACATGTTGGATTTCTGTGAGTAATGACAGCATCTAATTGTCATTAGATCCTGCCTACCAGGATTCTCATCCCCAGCTCTTAACTTTCAGTACACCTTGTCCAAGAACAGCAGTAGAAGGTTGTGAAGTTAAGCCGGGCCCTTTGCTAGATGACGTGGACTATCCCCTGCAGGGTGTATATGCTGCCTCTTTCTCTCTTCCTATTAATTTTCCTTTTGACAATTATTTTTCCTGCTGTGTTTCCAGTGTACTTTTGATTGTTTGCACTGCTTCTTTGAATAAAGAGGTGAGAGGACATCTGTGTTTGAGGCCATCACCTGTGCGATCACAGTAAAGGGTAGACGTTAGGCTTTCCCCCTCATGTTTCCCTTTTACTGTACAGGTCCAGCTGGTGGGTTGGGTGTGCCAGGGGTAGGTCACAGCATACAATGCTTTGGAGGTTCTAGGCAAGTGCTGTTTGTTTGTGAGCAGCTCAGAGAGCCTGTCATAACTTTAAACAGGCACATAAAGCTGCCCAGAGTTTTGCTGCAGCCTCTCTCCAGTCCTCAGAAAGTGTTTCCCCATGGTTTGCAAGTTCTCTTCTGCATCCTGATGAGCACAACACAGAATCTCACTTACTATGTGTCAACATTTTTGTTCAGGTTTCAAATTCATGATGATGCAAAAGAAATTAATGCCTTGTACGGTTATGAATTCTACTCAAGAGTGTAGACCCAAGTAAACTGTAGATAATGCCTCATGTAAAGTAAGGAATATGTTTTCTGAAGTCAGCCCTACACTCGGGTCTTGTACCAGTTAAACTGTCAATATTTGAGTTTCAAAATAATTATTATTTGGCTACTGTGGACAAAGTTTCATAGTTTCTAGGGTCGGAAGGGATCTGAGCAGATCATCTAGTCCGACCCCCTGCCATGGCAGGAAGAGCACTGGGGTCAAATGACCCCAATAAGGTGGTCATCCAGCCTCCTCTTAAAAACCCCCAGGGTGGGAGCCTGCACCACCTCACATGGAAGCTGGTTCCAGACCCTAGCCACCCTGACCATGAAGTAGCGCCTCCTGATGTCCAACTTAAAAGTTATAGCATCACAAATGTACCTTATGTCAGTACAACTTATTCCCCTTCCTTTATGAAAATAGCTTAAAGTACACCTGTTAATTCAAGTTCATCTGCATTTATTGCTTGAATTTCATAGATAATATTGCAAGGATATATTGGTAGCCATGTTGGTCTGAGATGAAAAGAAATGCAAAACTCTAAAACTCTTGGTTAAGAGATGATATTTATTAGACCAACTAAGATAAAGCTGTTGGGGTATATACTGGAGTCCTTTCAAAAGGAGAACTTTTAAAAAAGGGCAGCTATTATGTTCTAACTGTTACTGCGAACAAGCTGAGAGTACTGTGTCCAGTCCACATCTAAAATTACTGTGTCCAGCTTTGCCCCCCCCATAAAGGATTTAGACAAATTGGAGAGATCCCTGTTGCTGAGGGCAATGGAAGTGGTTAGTGGGGGGTAGGACAGATGACTTAAGAGGAGAGGCTGAGGGAAGTGGGCTTATTTAGTCTGGAGAAGAACACTGAGAGGGGATTTAATAGCAGCCTTCAGCTACCTGAAGGCTGGTTCCAAAGAGGATGGAACTAGAGTGTTCTTAGTGGTGGCAGATGACAGAACAAGGACAGTGGTCTCAAGTTGCAGTAGGGAAAGTTTAGGTTAGATATTAAGAACAACTTCCTGACTAGGAGGGTAGTAAATCACTGGAGCCAGGTTACCTAGGGAGTAAGGCTGTGCAAAGCTTCAGTAGCTGATTCGATTTGGAGCAGATGCAGCCAAATCTCCAAATCCAAATCAAATTGGGAGATTCATTAAGAGGTCCGAATCGAACTGGAAGCTTCTGAATTGATTTGGAGTGATTTGGGGCTGTTTTGGAGATTCGGCCATAGGCTATTCAGGTTTCACTCACGTAAAGCAAACCCACTTTATAATATAACAAATAGGGATAGGTTCCCAAGGTGGTGAGGGAGGGAGTGAGGCTGGGACTAGGGAAGGGGCAGGGGGAGGTGTGCCGAGCACCAGAAAGAGCCCAGTGCCCCCAGATCTGGACATGGGATGACAGCAGACTGCTGCTGCAGGCTAGGGCTGGTGGCAGCACTGGGCTGTTCCTGGCACTTAGCACACTCACCCCGAATGCCAGGAAGAATTGGCTTGGTGCCGCCACTGGCCCCAGCCTGCAGCGGCAGCCTGCTGTCATCCGGTACACAGATCCAAGGGTACGCATCCCTGGTGCAGGCCCGGGAACAGCACCCGCCCCCGCCCCTTCCCTAGTCCCAACCTCATTCCTTCCCTCCCTCACCACCTGGGAATGTACCCCTATCTGTTAGGGCTGTCTGAAGCTTTGGTAGCCAATTCAGTGGCCACACCTTCAAATCTGAATTGGCCGAATCAAGTCAGAACAGTGATTCAAATCACTGAATTGAATCACTGTCCCTCAAATCAGCCAAATCCGAATTGAATACTTGCTGCTTTGCATGGACCCATTAGAATCTCCATTGTTGGAGGTTTTTAAGGCCCGGCTAGACAAAGCCTTGGCTGGGACGATCTAGTTGGGGATGGTCTCGCTTTGAGCGGGAGGTTGGACTAGATGACTGTCTGAGGTCCCTTCCAACCCTAATGTTCTATTATTCTAATGATTCAAAACTGTTTAACATTATTTGATCCAGGGGCAAAAGTTGTAGTGGTTTTGTTATATTTGAATCATTGCCACTGCTAAAGGTGACTACAGCATTGAAATGTTTCCATCAAAATGGTATAGGAATGAGTGTCTGTGGCTGGAACAGTTCCTTTTGAAGCAGATCTAAATGCATTTAGCTTGGAAACGTTTCAATTGTTACATATGTCAGCATCATCAGTCTAGCTGATGTAATTTTATAATGTACTTCCTATTACTATGATAGCTGTAATCATTTAGGATGCAAACTTAATTTAACTGTATGTACACAAAAGATCTGTTTGACTGCACACAGAGTACTTTTTTCCTTGCTTTCCCTTCCTTTCCTCTTTCCTTCTTTCTATCCTTCCATCTACTATATTTACCTGATTCCAAGATTACTTCAAATTTAGAACAGCCCCCCATCCCCAAAGAAACTGAATTCGGTATGTAGAAAATTTAAATTTGTTACAATTTTCTATGTATAGAATCTAAGTATTGGAGGTTGTCTGAAATTTATCCCCAACACCACTGCAGTGGGGAAAGTAACACCAGGGAGGCAAGTAGCAGCAGGGGAGCAGGCAGCATGGGAGACAGGAAGCGGGAAAAGTCAGGCAGCCTGACTCCTTTGCTGCCCCTGCTACCTGCTTCTTTGGTTCCTGGTTCCCACCCCCACGGTGCTGCACAAACTGGCATCTGCCCTCCACCCACTTGCTCCCCTGCTTGGCTCCACCCACTTGCTTCCCCCTGCCCTGCCACCATTTACCCTCAATTGTGGCTATAGTTCCAACACTGCTTTGACTTGGGTCATGGAGCACATGGTGATACCAGGCCCCAGGGTAGCTTGGGATCAGTTATGGGGCCACACCTACTGTGTGCCCTGGGCTGGAGCCAAGACAAGGCTCCAGCCCAAGGCATTTTGGATGGTGGAAAAAACCTTGTCTTGGATTTGAGTAAATGCAGTAAATTTGTCCAGCTAAATAATGAAGTGTGGGTAACTTAATTGAGCCATTTGTTTTCCAGGCATGATAGTGAAAGTGAGTGTCTTCTAGTCCATGTGTTACAGCTGAAGAATTTTACTGGTCTTGTTGTGAAAGAAGGCTGCAAAATGTAAGCTCATATTGCACCACAGGCATGATTATTGCT